ATTCAGATTAGATTATTAGGTTTTTCCCTTTCTGTATGTTTCTTCTATCCCAAGAATCCTTATTTAGCATTTATATTACATATTCCTAGTCACTCTATCAAGATCCATTTAGGTATTTATTAAGAATAGTTCTCATATGGGATATAAGAAAGAAATTTTAAGGTTCAAAATGTATAGAATATATTACCAAAGTATTTCATCTGATGAATATATTCCAGAAAAGACACTGGAAAGTAGTTAACAAACAAGAACAAAGGTCTTAATGCAGAAAAAAATGAAAACATTGGGAACAACAAACTGTACTATTTCAACTCCTCTACCATCTTTTTGATCCAATGTTGCAGATGATTGCAGTTCAAAGCCATTCTAATTTTTTTCTTCTGTAAAAACTTGTAAGATAAAGTCTGGCCTCAGTAAGTAAGTTCTACTTCACACCAGACACAAAAATCAATTCAAGATGGATTACAGATCTACATGTGAAAGTTAAAAAAAACTATAAAACTTTTAGAGAAAAACAAAGGAGTCCATCTTTGTGATTTTAGAATAGGCCCAAGATTTTTTAAACGAGATACAGAAAGTGGCAACCATACAGGATGATCAATAAATTGAGCTACATTAAAATTAAGACACCATTAGGTGAGTGAAAAGGCAACTCACAGAATGGAAGAACATATTTGCATTATACATATCCACCAAAAGACTGCAAAATAACTCCTACATATAAATGAGAAAGAGACATGAACAGGTACTTCACCAGAGGATATACAAATGTAAAAGGATATTAAACTTTACTTATCATTAAGGAAACACAAATTTAAACTGCAATGCAATACTACTATATAGCCATTACAATGGCTAAAGTGAAAAAAATAGAAAATATCAAGTGCTGAAAAGAATGCAGAGTGACCAAATCTTCACATATTGGTACAACTGACCCATTCAGGAAAGTGTTTCACAGTGTCCACTGAACGTATGTATACCCTATGACACAGTGATTCCACTCCTAGGCACACAGCTAAGACAAACACATCCACATGCTCACCAAAAGACATGCAGAAAATGGTAAATGCAGTATTCTTCATAATAGCCAATATCCATCAACAAAAGAACAAAAAATATGCTCTTTTCCTCATGGTGGCCTGGTGTGCAATGGCTGCAAATAGCAGCCACCTGGTAGTATATGCAGCCTGTTGCTTATATAGGTTGTCCTAAGGGACCTTGGAAACAGCCCTTTCCAATGTACATTTATGTCTCTGACCTCATCCTGTCTCCAATCCAGATATTAGGCAGGTAGGCGAGGCACCTTTGGAAAGCCCTAGGGCATGGTGGCCAGGGTTCACATTGGCCAAGTCATCATGTCCATTAACACACCAAGTGGCAGAACAAGAAGCATGTAATTGAGGTCCTCTGCACGGCCAAATTCATGTTCCCTGGACACCAGAAGATCCACATCTCAAAAAAGTGGGGCTTTACAAAGTTTAATGTGGATGAATTTGAAGACATGGTGGCTGAGAAGTGGCTCATCCTGGATGGCTGTGGGGTCAAATACATCACTCATCGTGGCTCCCTGGACAAGTGGTGGGTCTGCACTGACAAGGGCTCCACTGTGCTGCTTCCACTTTATTCATGCCCACCAATAAATCCTACTTCCTGTCTAAAAAACCCCCAATCTACAACTATATGAAACATGAATGAATCTAACAACATAATACTGAACATAAGAATCTAAACATAAAATGTATTATATGATTTATATAAAGTTCAAATATAGAAAAAAATATGCTGTTATAAGTCAGTACAGTGGTTATCCCTGGTAAGAGTAGAGGATAGGAACAGATAGGTACTAAAAGGGAACACAAGGAAGGTTCTGGAGTACCAGTAACGTTCTACTTCCTGATCTAGACACTGCTTGCATGACTGTGTTCAGTTTGTAAAAATTCAGAGAGCTGTGCATTTACACTTTTCTGCATATTATAGCGTGTATGAAGATTAAAACAAAAAGTCATGTTTTTACATACCTTTGAAGAAGAATCAGGATCCTTCCCATTAAGAAGACCTAGTACTTGACTAAGACATGAAGAAAAGTGCTCATACCTAGGTTTAAAATAAAAGTATACATCAAATGACAATTATAAAATCAACACATCAAAAAGGGATTTATCTACAAGACTAATATAAAAGTTAAGTGTATTTTCTGTCATCTATTTATTTGGGCTTCTAAT